CCCCAGGATTCCATTGGCCTTCTTGGCCACAAGGGCACACTGCTGCCTCATGGTCACCTCATTGTCCACTATGAGACCCAGGTCTTTCTCTGCAGAGCTGAGCACATTTTCTTTATATATTTTTTTTCTTATGTATAGCAAGCATGCACTCTGAGAGAAAGGGCCTAGATGTTTTCTGTACACAGGCTAAGAAAATGATTAAAAACCCAGCCAGTACTCAAACACATCTTTGAGGCACTTTTTACCCTGCAAAAGGATGAGTTTTTTTTGTTGTTTGTTTTGGTTTTTTTAAATTTAAAGACAAGGAAACCAATCATTTGAGTGTTAAAAGTTCTTGTACATATGTTAAATGGCCTATGTCTATAATGTTTAGTAGCAATCATTGCTATGGAATTCCGTTTTATTTTTTTTAATTCTCATCAAGTAGCTTCATGTGCTTTGAAATTCAGAAACGAGGATGAATTAGACATGGACTACTGCTTTCTTCTAAGGAGTATGAGATTTCTTTTTCACTATATGTATTCTCTGTGAAATCTACCTTTCTAAATATTCTTTAGCTTTTATTCTGTTTTTTACTAGGCTGAAATCTACTGTAGGTGTTGCATCTTGTGCTTAGGGAATGCAAAGTTTGTCAGTGCGAGTTCTCCATAGCGACTGTTGGCACAGTAGAAATGTTCGCAGTACATAGGTTCCTCAAATCCATTAAAGATGTATAGCTTACTTACTTACATTGACATATATATTTTAACATATTCCTTACAGGCTCTGGTAGGATGTTGATATTGAAGATTATTTTACAAGTGGCTTTTTTTTTTTTTGTGAACTTAGAAGTAATCGGGGTAGCCCTTTAGTAGGGAAAACTTGCGTAAATATTAAATAGTTACGTGTGGAAAGAAGAAAAGGTAAAGAATGGAAAGGTAGTGTGAACTTCTATAGATAGAGCAGTAGCTAAGGCTTATTCCAGTTTTCTGTCTTTGGTATTAGATTTTCGGAATCTTGTGGTTTGCAGAGCCTCTCGTAACAGTATTTGCTTGGAATTTTTTAATTTTCTCCCACTTAATCTACTTCCTTAAAAACAGGAGATTCTGGTGTCTGGGGCTTGAAGAAGAACTTTGCTTTGTTGGAACTGTTGGAACGACTGCAGAATGGACCTGCTGGGCAGTGTGGGACAACAGAGGAAGCTATTGGCTTATCTGGAGAGGTACTAATTGAAATAAAAATTAATACTCTGCTTGAAATATATATTTAGATGTGAAGATTCTGTTCTTAGCGTAACAGAAATGAACTCCAATTCCGTATAAAATGTGAAGTTCTTCCTAAACATTTGAAAGAAAGTCTTTCCCAAGTGTTGCTTTTCTGCAGTCATTTGATATGACTACATCATGTGATAGGAAATATTTAATTATTAAAACTGACTCATTTAGTTATCTTGGTATTAGCAACTACTATGAAGAGAGTATTGTGGATTGCCATTCTAGGAGCAGATTTTTGTCTTAAGGATCTACTTGTCTATGAATGTTTTCTGAGTATGTAGCCTTACAATTTCTTTCTATTATGTGTATATATAAAAGGTAGTGCCTAGAGCTTGCCTACTTTACCCTCAAAACTTCTACTGAAGTTTGGATCAGTGGAATCTCTGGACCCTTCTGGAAGAAATCTTTGGAGTTTACTGTAAAGCAAACTTTTTTTTTTTTTTTGAATTTGATGAAAAATTAAAAGCAAGCTTTGAAAGTGTTCTAAATGTTTATTAGCATTCAGCTTTTAAGAAAAGCCTACTTGTTAGGTGTATGTTGGTGATAACTTTTATGATTTTTCCCAGTTACTGGAATTGGAGAACAATTTCAGTTTTTTCCTTTTTTCCTGCTGTTAGTGTATTGTCCGTTGTGACGAAGATGAAGCCCATGTGGCATCTGTGTACTGCACAGTGTGTGCCACTCACCTGTGTGCGGACTGCTCCCAGCTTACACACTCGACCAAGACCCTGGCGAAGCACAGGCGAGTGCCCCTTGCTGACAAGCCTCACGAGAAGACCATGTGCTCCCAGCACCAAGTGCATGCAATTGAGTTTGTTTGCTTGGAAGAGGGCTGCCAGGGTAGTCCCCTTATGTGCTGCGTCTGCAAGGAATATGGGAAGCATCAAGGTCATAAGGTACCGCTTAAGACGTGTTTGTTGTCGTGTCATCCGGTAGCTTACGGAAATAATACTTAGAAATTTAAGTGCAGGAAATCAGGAAAGAGGATAGATGTTTGATGGATCTTTTTGGAAGTAACTTCATATTGTTCATTCCTTTATCATTCATTTCAGATAACTGCTGTGGTAAAAATACAGGGAGGAAAAGTTGTTCCTGAGACCACAGTGTGGTTATTTGTATGTTAAGATGGAAAGGGCCTTTATCTGAGGCAGTTCTGAACCTCACTGTGCTGTGTCAGCAGTTCTGATAATTGTTATTTACCAAGTAAATAGTTAAATTTACCCAACCTAGTACAGTCCAACCATCTGTTTTTCACAAGTGATTATGGGAAATAGCATGTTGAATTGTGTAATTGCTAGATTGCTATTTTTAATCTCAGTGTAATGTAGTTAATCTATTTTAATTTTCAAATTGTTTTAAAAGTTTACTTTTCCTTTAAATATATAGGTATACATATACTTTTTTTCCTTCTCCTTACTATTTACTTTTGTAAAATGAGATGATTAAGGAAGATGCTTATGTTTTGAATTTTGATATATTACTTTCAATTAATAGCATTCCGTCTTGGAGCCAGAAGCAAACCAGATTCGTGCAACCATTTTAGACATGGCCCACTGTATAAGAACTTTCACAGAATAAATCTCAGATTACTCCAGGAAATTAGTTGGAATCGTTCAGCAAATAGAAGGAGGAGAACAAATAGTTGAAGATGGAGTTGGAATGGCCCATACTGAACATGTATGCTTTTACTTCTCTTTCCTGCAAGTGTTGTGTATTTCTTTTAGTAGCTTGTGGGTGTGTGTTTTTTTTTTTTTTTTTTTTTTTTTTTTTTTTAATCACTCCACAACAAAGCTTTTTTTCACCATCAAACATAGGCTTTTTGGACCATAAATGGAAGAGGAACTTGTATTCCACCACACTATCTTTTGTCTGTTGTGAAAACAGAGATCCAGTAGGGTGTTATATAATTGCAAGTTGTCTTCGTCTTGGGGCTGTTAAGATGCTCTGTGCAACTGAAACTTGAAATGCATGCTAGCCAACCGTATGTGAATGTGAGTTAGAAATTGGAATGAAATTCAACATATTGTGTTTCTGGTATCAGCTGCCATCCTTAATCAGATTTCCTGTTGATCTCGTGACTGTAATACTGTAGGTGCCGGGGACTGCGGAGAATGCTCGCTCGTGTGTCCGAGCCTATTTTTCTGATCTTCATGAAACCCTTTGTCGTCAGGAGGAAATGGCCCTGAGTGTTGTTGATGCTCATGTGAGGGAGAAGTTGATTTGGCTTAGACAGCAGCAAGAAGATATGACCATCCTGTTGTCACAGGTTTCGACAGCTTGTCTTCATTGTGAAAAGACTTTACAACAGGTAGGCTGGCAAGTCATAACATGGGGCAGGAGAGGGGAACAGTAAGTTTAGACAATAAAAAAAAAAAAGAGATGGTTTTCTGCATTCCTGTTTCTTTTATAATGTTAAAACAAAAATGATACACCATGGAGTATTTGATATACACGAATGACATGACCAGTACAACAGTATCAAGTTCTCCCATTCCTGGAAATACCGTGGCTGCAGCATGATTGTGTACACTGGAATACTCCGGAGTAACATCTAGTTAGTCATGGGGTGAATCGGAATAAAGAGAGAAACTGAAGCAAAAACCCCTACAATACTTATGGGAGGTGTTTTACAGTTACTATGACCAGTATAAATGTTTGAAAATATTTTTTTGTGTGACACTGATAAAGAAGAATGTGTTCAGATTAAATAGCTCTCTGTAGGCCTTACTGTCTGGATAATTAATAGTTTATTAAATGTGGAAAAAAGTGACTATTTTATAGTACCAGGTTGATCCATTATTCACTTACTTTGATGGCAAAAAGTTAACAGCATGTGCAGCAAGCAGTGAATGGAATTTGACAAATGTATTATACTTTAAAAAAAATTATTTAGTATTAGTGTTTGGTTACTTAGTGAAATAGACATTTAACTGGCACTATTTTACATTCCCATCTTTAGTGCTGGATGTTAATCTTCCTTTATTATGTTGCTGTTCACTGCAACGTGTTGTTGTATTTTAACTGTTTCTATGAATGATATAAATGATATAAATGTTACATGTATTTCATTGCTCTGTAGTGTAACACATCTTATTCCTAGAGAACTAACCTCTAATCCTAGAGGTCAAAGGATACTTTTTAAAAATGGCAGAGCTTTTTAGAATCTGCTAGTGTTAAGGAAGAATTACATTTGTGATTTAAATAGCATTTTTTGTAAAGGTTACTTTTCCTTAACAAGAATATTTGAAATGTTTTATTTCCAGGCACCATGTTTGTTTTGGTTTTGATTGTGTGAAGTAAGTTATTGATGGGAGGGGATCCTTTTTTTTTTTTTTTTTTTTTTTTTTTTTTGGCTGTTTAGGATGACTGCAGAGTAGTGCTGGCCAAACAGGAAATTACAAGACTTCTAGAGACATTACAAAAACAACAGCAGCAATTTACAGAACTGGCAGATCACATCCAGCTGGATGCTAGCATACCTGTCACCTTTACAAAGGTATTCTTAATCTTGTGCTAACATACCTGTCATTTTATGAAGTTCCAAATGTCATTTAAACATAAAAAGTGCACCATCAGTTACAACCGCAGTGTCTTAACATTTGGTGAGGATCTATTGTTACTGTGATGAAACTGAGGATGTAAGTACTTCTACTGATGTTTTTCCTATAGGAAATTGATGCTTCTGTGTGGATTAGCATTGCTATCAACATCTGTGTCCTACATGGCTTTCTGTTAGAAGCTTTCATGCCATGTCCTTTTGGGGAAAAAAATAGGATTTTTTTGGGATTCCCTTCCTTCTGCAGCAAAGTAATTCAGAATTAATATGTATTATTTCCGTTGTGCAGCTGTTCTCCAAATTCATCATTAATTGCTGTTCTTAATTACCTGTTCTGAGACTAATTAATAGTGTTCTTAAGTGCCTACATCTTGTCTTTCAGCCTACTTTAGGAATGCACATGTTTCAGCAGTGTGCTATGAGAAATTTAATTTCTGCCAAATACTTTATTTTGTAACTTCAGTATGTTTTAATTCCCATGTAATTACTGCTTTATCTGCCTCAGGTAGAAGCTGAAGCCTTCACTCAACAGATCTATAAATGCAGTATTTTCAACTCTGCCTCTCCTTCCCCTATTTAGCAGAGGCAAGAGATACCTGGGCGGAGGAGACATTTGTCTGCAACCCTTGATTACATTTAAGTGTTGTTTCATATGTGAAGCAGCAGGTGCAGCTTTTGCAGAAGATGAGTTGCATCTTGCATATTCAAGGAACTGAGTGGTGCTATCTCACAGGACTGAGACTTGTATGATGGAGTGCCCCGTTCTTGCTCTTTACATATTTCTCTGCCCAGAAACTGTTAATCTACATCAGACAACCTCTGTGAGGAATCTGTGAGCATTCGGAAAGAGAAGGTTGCAGCCAGCTTGGCTACAATAGGAGATTTGAAATAGGTCCTGGCTCAGGGTACTCAGAAGTCTTCAAATGTCTTTCCTTGTTTCAGTGTTCCTGGGAAAGAAATGGGGCATCTATTGCTCTGTCCTGTGACAGACTGGGATTCTCACCAAGTCACGTGAGGCCCAGATTTGATGTTTCAAAGGTGCCAAAGCAAATGTCACTTTTTCACAAAAATAGCAGTAGTCATGGAAAAAAGAAAAGCTGAAAACAATTGCTTCAGTCCCTCTTTTCCTTTTTTATTCCCTTCTGATATGAAAATAATAGCTCTCCTTCTACACAAAGGTCTTTCAGGTCTTTTTACATTTCTCTATTTGCATCTTTTTTATTCTCTTCCTCTTTTCAGTTTTCCCTATTTCTTGTCATTTCTCAAGGTGTTTTTACAAGAAATGCCCGTGGATATTGAAGTAGCTTGAAGACATTGATTTAGGCTATGCTGACTGTTCTAGCAGTTTCCTGCCTGCTCTATTGCAGGGAGGGGAGAAACTCCAGAGCTCAGATGGGGATCACAATGGCCTACGAATGGCTGTATAAGTGGATTTTATATGTGTGTTCCAGGTCACGGGATATGGATGTTTAGTTGAACATCACACTGATGCACAGTGGTTTTAGATCAAGATAGGTTGCAGTATTTTGCATTCAAAAAAAAAAGTATTTCTAACACAAAAAGAAATAAAAAGCTGGATGGGGTAAACACAGACTTTTTACATTGTTGCCCAGCACGATGATGCCCACAACCTCCAGATCTTGCAGGAAAAACAAATGTAATGTGGCAGGAGTCTGGTTTCAACTCTTTCATTATGAAAACATTTTGAAGTACTTTAAAAACACATTTCTGGGACATATATATGTTTGTCTTAAGGTTTATTTTTTGATGCTTTTTGTTAGTAATGCCACTTGGTCATTTTGCCCTCATCACATTCAGTATTCCAGGTAGTTTGAGGAAATAATTCATTGACTACAAATATGAAATTCATTCTGTCTTCTTGCCACCAACTGAAACAGGTTACTTTTTTTTTTAATGCAAAGTTAATTGTCGGTGCTGATCATGTTGCTCTACTGTGCTAATGGATTGCAAGTGGCTTGAGGTGAAGAGACAGAGCTAGGAACTTCCTACTGAAAATAATTCTGTGGGTAGGGGCATTAATACTGCAACAAAACTTGCTGTAAAAGTTCCAAAATCAGTAGGGAATTTTCTGGTCAGAGAGTCATCGCTAATTGCTGTGAACAGCTTGTCGTGGGATTTTGGCCAAGAATATACAAGAATTTGAAATTTTGTTAAGTATAGATCTACTAGCCTGAGAGTGGATGGATGGCTTTGTAAAAATATATATATAAAACGTGCAGAAGTTATAGATGCACTATAGAAATAATTGGATATTGTGGCTTATATTGTTGTTGGTGATGGTTGTCAGGTGGTGGTGACCACCTTTGGAATCCATGCATTTCATCAATTTACAAATAGTGATGAGCTGTCCTGGGTCCTAAAATGCATTCAGTTTCCTAACCTTGCTCTCACTTTGTGTATCCTGGTTTTACCAGGACAACAGGGTGCATATTGGACCTAAAATGGAGATTCGGGTTGTCACTTTAGGACTGGATGGAGCTGGCAAAACAACTATTTTATTCAAGTTAAAGCAAGATGAATTCATGCAGCCAATTCCAACAATAGGTTAGTAGCAATGACTTAAATGTAATGATTTTCTGAGCATTTGGTTATTTAATGTTTATAGAGGATAAAACTAAAATCTGAATATTTTTATCTTAGGTTTTAATGTTGAAACAGTAGAATATAAGAATTTGAAGTTTACTATTTGGGATGTAGGAGGAAAGCACAAACTGAGGCCATTGTGGAAGCATTATTATCTCAATACGCAAGGTAAGATTAATGCAGCTTTAAATCTTTTAAAATACAAGATTAAAAAAAAACAAAAAAAAACAGAATACAGCTTATTGCTAACTTATTTAAAACCATTATTATTAGAAATGATTTATAACTGCAGAAAATCATTGCTATAAAGCATCATACAAATGCTAGATTCATGATCTGAGATATTCTAATCCACTTAGTTGTAGTGACTACTGAATTCTTTATAAATCCATCAGACAGTTCATGGAGCCAAACAGAAATAGAATCTGTTAAACTGATGATTTTAGCTGACAACAGACAAGGTTCAGCATACCAGAAGTTCCTGTAGCAATAAGTAATGCTTGCCAGGTAATTGTCAGGTACAACTTTAAATAGCACTTGAATGAAAATACTCTAGTCTCTAGTTGGCAACTTAAAACTTCCAGAGAATTCTGACTTGGTATTGTTGTGTAAATTTTACTAGTAAAATTATTTTATTATGAAAACATAGTTCTGAATTATACTGACTTGGAAATATATGCTGGGCGTCTGTAAATGCTCCACAGTAGTTTTCCAGTTTAGGAAGAGGTTCTTCATAAATTAAGTTACTTAAAATACTTTATAATGACAAAGATTAGTTGAAGAATTCCATTTTGTTTGCTGTTTCTGCCTTCTCGGCAAACTTTAAGATTTTACATCTTTTTAGCTTTATATATATGTACATATAATTGCATCTGGTATTTCTATTGTTCTCTTAAATCTCCCCTGTAAACATCAGTAACATGGAATTGTGTCTGCCATGGAGAATTGTCTGCAAAACTGAGGCAAAACCTAAACCTCTAGCTTGATAGATCCCTGTAGCAAAGTTTTACTCCCTGCCCCCTGACACACGCACATTGTAGAAGCTGATGACTTTAAATTCTGTGTTCTAGTTCTGCTTCCCAAACTCTGCAGTTTCTTTAGCATCTCAGTCACCCACTTTAATAGGCAGTAAAATGTTCTGATGCTCTCTCAAGCACTTGGTTAGTATGAGTCCACAGTCTTCCTGGTTTGCGTAGTCCTCCCGCAAGCGTGTCTGAGACCAGCAGACAAACTGGGCTGGCTTGATTGAAGCAGCAGATTTTACAGCCAATTCAGTGAAATTGGAAGACACATATGGGAGTTTGAGCATAAATGGATCAGGAAGTGGTTTAAACCAAGATATTAATTTACACAAGGTAAATCTGTTTTTAGATCTAACTAGTTATGCTAGATGAGGCCAAAAACTTGAGAATTTTTTCCTTTTTAGGGTGAAATCCATTTTTTCTGAAAATGATAGGCGCATAAGGCGTTTCTCGGTACCCCTGAGTTGTAGTGTCTGCAGCAAAATTTCATTTAGACTATAATATGAATAAAAAAACGTTAGCTGAAAGCCAGCAAAATCCAGTGTTTGTATTTGAGTGTCTAAATTTTAATTTCTTTTCTTTCTTAGCGGTGGTTTTTGTTATTGATAGCAGTTATAGAGATAGAGTCAGCGAAGCACACAGCGAACTTGCAAAATTATTAACGGAGAAGGAATTGCGGGATGCCTTGCTCTTGATTTTTGCCAATAAGCAGGTACTTCTCTGTGTTTTTTCCTCTTCCAATTGCTTTTTTGCCTTCAGCTAGTACAGCGAATTGCAGCTTTCTGAACGCTCTGTCGCAGGTAAGATAACAGGAACGTGAAAAGGATATAATGTAGATACTTTTCCTTATGCTCAAAGCTGTTAAAGATTCAACAACCAATTTCTGCTTTATAATTAAAAAAATAAATTCTTAAATGTTTGGTATGATCTTCCAGTTTGAAAAGCATGTATGTGACTTGTGGCCATTCTCAAATTAAGCTATTGGTTACAAACAAAATGTCTCAGAGATACTACAGAAGAATAACTGAGTTTGTATCTGGTTCCGCTGCAGGATGTAGCAGGTGCACTCTCCGTGGAAGAAATTACAGAACTGCTGAGCCTCCACAAACTCTGCTGTGGCCGGAGCTGGTACATTCAGGGTTGTGATGCCCGGAGTGGTACGGGACTTTATGAAGGATTGGACTGGCTTTCAAGGCAACTTGTGGCTGCTGGTGTCCTGGATGTGGCTTAGTTTCACAGCAGTTGCAATCTAAGGTTGTAGTTAACTTGGTTTTGTTTGCACGATTTAGGATGTTGTAGATGGGCCTGCTCTCTGAAGAGGGGGCTTGACTTCATTTGGTGATTACAGGAAAATACAAGCCTTTCATCCTAGATTTTATTCAGTAAATTTGTGCAGTTGTTACAGTGTTTTTGAAATTTGATACATTCATATGTAATGTGATGGGCTGGTTACAAGGGTGCCTTGAAATTCTTTTTGAGGAAATTCAATTGCTCCAATTCTTCCCTGATAAATATGTCCTTAGGAATTCCATCTATTAATCATGACGTGGTCACAGTAGCTAATTGATAGCAGAGAATTTGAGCAATTTAGAAATATTTTTCTAAAGAAACATCCTAAAAATTCATCTCAAGCTCTTTAGGATAGTCAAATAGTGCTACTTTCTAAAAAATGGGTTCACCCGAAGTTGGCATTGAATATTACATGCGAATATGCTGCAAGAGGATGATATCATTTCCTTCACCTTATTTATTAGCTTCCTTCTCCCTTATAAAAAAGGAAGGGAGCATCATTTATTGAGGAGGAATTGAGAAAGGAGAAGAGTGTCACAGTGCTAATGGGCTGTGACATTGGCTAGTGTGCATGTTTGGTGTGGTGGGAAGGTTTGTGCACATGCTATATTATTTATGGAGAGACTATAGTGGTACTGAGGTGTAAGTGTTTTGTGTTTGCTTAAGGAGATAATCTGTTTTTGGAGATAAAGTTAGAAATTTAAGTTTTGACTCAAGAAGTCAAATAAAGCTTAGAAGGTATTCCTAAAGCAGCAGCATGGTGTAACATCAGTCCAGCTATGCTCTATCAGTCTACTTTGATGTAGAGGTCATGCTTCCAGAATAAGGTAGTCGCCTTAAAATATTAAATAACCTGTTGTAAAAGCAGTGTGCAAATAATTATAGCCCAGAACAGCAGATGGTAAATGTGATGTCAACTTTGTGTTTAGGAGATGTAGTAAGAATGAACAGAATCTACATGAGCTGTCACTCATGCCTCTACTTTTAAAGGTAACTCATCCACAAGCTTGTAAAATACAGATGTAGTACTCTTTAAATTTAGAGAAGGCTGGAGTGACTTACTGCTGTCTCCTTTCCTGCTGCCTGCAGTTAGTTTATCTGTCTGGTATGCACACCTAGTGTAGAGACTCCTGGCACAGCTCCTGCAAAGTGAAGGACCTGAGCCATGTGCTGCTGTGCAGCAGGAGAGGGGACAGGACCAACAAACATTGGGCAAAGCTAGGAATGTATGAACAAGTCACTTAGTACATTTGCACTTTCCTTCAAGAGGAAGCACTTGTAGTAACTACTCTCCGCTAATGGCAGTTGCTTATAGCTTTCTCTTGTTAAATTTCCCAAAAATTGTGTTTAAATGCAGCTTCAGACTTACACTTAGTCTAATGACTTGAAGAGCAGCTGAAAAGCACACTAAGCTTCCAAGTATGTCTTTGTGAAATAGGCTTACATGTCTACAGATGTGTAGAGATACTGCGAGGCAGTAGTTTCTCTTCCTTTGGGAAACACCTGATAACTTTTGTACATAGTTTATAGTGGCTGAAGGGGGTTCTGTTACCCCACACCAATTCAGAACTGTTCATCCTTCCCAGCCTGTAGCTTCTTGCACAGAAAACAGTTGGCTGCTCTGCCCTGAGTATTTGCTTGGCCTGTTCTGCAGAGCTGTTCCAGATCTCGTTAGTGCTGACTGTCCTTTTAGAGCTCTATTTTTAAAATAAGAAAAAGTTCTGCTAAATGTGGTAGATACTTTTCTGCAATACTTTTAACAGAAAAGATCTGCATTCTTTAGAAAATCCTTAATCTATTTTTTTTGTTGTAGTTGGCTTGAGCTTTGGTTACACAAGCCTCTCAGACGCTTAGCTGTAGTTCTAATTAGAACCTTCAAATGTTCAAGGTGACCAGTTTGCTTTTTTTGTAACAGTGCATTTGGGGGCAGAGAAAGATACTTGCTTGTGCATATTTTTGAGTACAAACAGATTGCTTGTGACACATGTGGAATGCTACCATTAAAGTGTTCTTAAGTGGAATTTATTTAAGTAGACTTCAAGTAACTGTGAAACTAAGTGTTGCGTTTGTCTGTGAACTCTTACATGTTGACAGGTACACTAAGGAGTCAATTTGTATTTTAAGTTAATACTATATGTAAACTGCTTTAGTTGTAAATTTAAGCTTGTTTCACCATTTTTATTGAACTTCTGGTTTTTAGTGTACTGACTTATGCAATATATAACTGGAATATTACCACAACTAGATTTTACTCAAACATTACTAACTACATGGATTATTTGAAAGACTGAACAACTTTTTGTAGTATTTGGACTTAAATGTGAACCTAAGTAACTACAGCATTCAGTGGTGGTGATGTGTGCTTCTCTAATGCATCTTGCTGCAAAAATGGTAAGTCTAATCTAACTGAAACAGTTGCACCATATCAAGTGGTAAAGCATTATTTATGTTACCTTCAAATTTACTGGGGCCAGCATGGTACTTGAGGGTTTTGTTTTTATCTGCTGAGATAGGTGTGGGTGGTATGTAGTGATTTTTGGAAAGAAATGACTTTCAGTGGAAACAGCTGAGCTGCTACAGTTTGGTTTCCCAGAAAAATTAGCATTTTTCAATAAATATTTAAAATCCTTGAAGGATAATTTTCTTACATTTCTTCACTTTTGATTAGAAGTAATTTAAGAGTAATGTTCTACTTCAAACATACTCTTTTTTATTGCTGAATGTACCCCTTATTTCACTGAACTTTCTTGAAGATTGCAGCTTTTGACAGAATTAATGTGGTTAGTATCTTCTTTCAGGAAATGGAATGAGGGGAAAATACACGACTACCTGCTGTAAGGGTTTGGCAAGACCCCTCTGCCTTCCTCAGCTCTAAACCTGTACAGCCTCCCCCTTCATAATGCAGAGAGGGAAAATCTGAAATCTGATCTACTTCTGTTCTTATTCCTGAAATGAGTTTTAAGTACTACACAATCATTCCACACCAAGCCTGAGTTCTACCTGGGGCATCAGACCTTTATTGCAGGGGTACAATAACTGGTTATGAGCTGAAAACCTTAGGTCTGGGCGTTCGTTCATAACCTCAAGAGAAATATGTGTGTTTACATAATGAGGAAGAAGGTCTGTCCCTTTTACAGCTTCCGCATTATGATTAATATAATAGTCTGAAAATAAGGGCACAGTAATAAGAAGAAAATGTATATTGGATTATATTATCTTAAAATAGGCTTAAATTGTACTATTAATGTTGTTTTACTAGTCGTGTTTTGCATTTGGAAAGCAACAACTACTAACAAATACTTCTCTGTTGATGTGAATAAAAACTTGAGTATAAAGAAATACACTTTTTAAAACTACCTACGTGTTTCTGTCCAGTTTATTTGCAAGTTTAACATGCTGTAGCTCTGCATTCAGCCTTCTTTGAGGAAAGAGAGGATGTCTTGAACTTGAGTATCATTAAATTTTCAACCATTTTTTTCTGCTTATCAAACATAAAAAATTTGCTTGTTATCTTGTTAAATTAATTGATTAATTATGCTTTTATGCTGTTTAATGAGTGCTTAATTAAGACTTATTTTTACTGTTAACATTTTATTATTTATGACTCTAAGGCTACTTCCCCGGCCAGGTACTGTCATCATTTTTAGTTATATGTGCAGACTTGTAGCAGCCAGTAGAAACCACTGCAAAATAAAGTGGAAAGTAGGAGCCAGCACATGTAGACTGCAAGGTCAATTCAGCATCTCCTGTGAGGCTGGTGAGCTGAAGTGATTGGAACACTTGGTTTCATAAATCATGTCATCACAAATCTGAATTCTTTGGAGTCTTATACGTCAGCACTAGTCAAGTTTACAATTACTGTATTTAGAGTAGGTTGAGTTACCTAACATCACAGGAAAGTCACAGGTTCAGCTGGCTGTGCTTTCCTTGAAGCCTGTCTCAGAACACCCGACAAACTCAGTTTAAAATAATCATCTTAACTGAATGGATATTTTAATAGAAATAATGTTCAGGTAAAGAGTTGGAAACAGACTGCTGGGGTTGAACTAATGAGGAAACAATCTTTAAAATATAAATAATTTTATATGTTATACTAATTATATGAGAACTTGTGCACTGGCCCTCCAGTAGCTGATGCCTGCTCTTTCAGCCTGATAGACATGTAAGTCAACCATATACAACCCCTTCTAAAGGATAGGGGCAGATTAGGTGCTTTGCCATAACATATATCTTGATCCATCTAGCATTAAGATATGACTCAATAAATATAAGCTCTGAAGAGCTGACTAGCCTTTGCCAGAGATTTCATTAAGTCTTTTCCCATTAACCATGATATCTGAAAAATGCAAATAAAGGTTATTAAGAGAGCAGCTAGACACTGATTAAAAGCACTCTCAGGAAACACAGTATAGGTTCCTATCTTTAATCTTGTATAGAAAAGATAGAAGAACAACAGTAGACATTATAAGAAACATGCATATGACTTTACTTTAAAGTACAAAATTATTAAAAATAGAGGCTTATGGTACTTTAGGTACCTAAAAAGTAGTAAAACTGTAGGGGGCTGCAGTTTCTTACATCCAAGAACCATCAAAATGATTTTCTTTTCCCTAGGTCCTCTTTGGTACTACAAGGCTGAGGTTTTGCTTAAGCTGGAACCTTCAATTTCTCTCTTACTTCACAGTGATGTTAATGATGCTGATGTCCTCATAGGGTTTGTCGGTTTTGGGATTCACTTTGACATTTGAAATTCTCTGAACAACTTCCATTCCCTTAGTCACCCGTCCAAACACAGTGTGCTTGTTGTCTAGCCAAGGCTGTTAAAGGTATGAGAAAAGTCATATTAAAACAGAAAATAAGAGGTGTACACTCAATGCAACTGAGGAAGAAAATGAGCTAAAGTGAATGTATGTAAATATTTTACATATGCAGGCTATTAAACTAAACAGCATTATACATGGTATGCAAACTGCTGTTTTAACAACTAAAAGGGTGCAGCTCATGCACATTCATAGGCATTTGAGAAATCTTTTGGAAGATGAGTCTAAAGTACTACAGAGGGTAAGTTCTAGTAATGCAGTAGCATTTTGCCGCTTTCTGTTTTTAACTATGATTTAGTTTGTAAAAGTGCTGTTTCCATACAGCAGTTTGATGTACCATGTCCAAAAACGTGGAACCATTTCAGCAATGGCCAAAGTTTTTTCCAGTTTAAACCAGTCTGTTAAGTATGCCAATAATGCAAAACTGTAAAAGTGTCAGCCCTACCTAGCATTTGATATGGCCCTTACATTTTCAAAAGGGCCTCTGCTGATCACAGATGACAAAAACACCTTTCATAAAGGAGTGTTGCAGTAGAGTTAATAGAGCCTGCCATTTCCACATGCAGCACTTATTTCCAAAATAGCAAAGGTTACTTGGACAGTAGTGTTTTCCTTTTTCATCATAAGATCTACTGTATTTACTTTTTACTACACAGTTAACCTCTTTAATACTAGTAGCTTTAATACTACTTACCGTGGGCACCACTGTTATAAAAAATTGTGATCCATTAGTATTTGGTCCTGCATTAGCCATACTGAGTGTATAAGGTCGGTCATGTCGTAAAGTTGAATGAAACTCATCTTCAAATTCTCCTCCCCAAATACTTTCACCTCCCATTCCTGTACCTGTGGGATCACCTGTCTGAATCATGAAACCCTGCACAAAAATTCAATATGTTACTGTGTCATTGTTAGAGTAAATGAGCCAAAGATCTTTCTCCCAAGTTTCAGGGTTTTTTTTTCCTACTTTGTCAGTTGCAGGACAACTTTGCTTAGTGATAGAGCTCTTCAGACTACAGAATTGTTCAGATATTGCAGGGAATTATACAACCATTTCAAAAATCCTCTGTGCAAAGCGGAAATGAAAATATAACTTTTGGGTCAATTCCGTCAACATTATGTAAACCAACAACAACAAAAAAAACTTTTTACAAGTTACCTTGATAATACGGTGAAATATGTGTCCATTGTAATAGCCATTTCTGCTGTGCACACAGAAGTTTTCCACTGTTTTGGGACACCTAAAATCATTCAATAGAAAATACAGGCTACAATAAGTATTTTATTGTATTATGGCAATACTCTAATGATTTCTGTTGAGACTGAGACCCTGTTGTACTGAGTCCTTTAGCATGGCGCTAGCTCTAGTCCCTTTTCTACCCACCCTCCAGTTAGAACCAGAATCTTTAGGCACATATCTGTCTTTCAGCCTGCAGCCCCTCCAGATGAAACAATTCAATCCAAAGTAAATAGAAAAAAGTGAATGATAGGCAACACAGGAAATATATTGTGCATTAGTGCCCTCTCACTGTTGCTTAGACCAGTTTTTACCCTTGTTTACTTCTACTTGTCATAATCGGGTGTCTGCTCGGGTACAGTAGGGTAACCTGCTGTATCAAGAAACTGAGGAAACAAGGCCAGAGAAAAAGAGGGGGAAGAGAACCATTCCTAGCTTGGTATGTATCTCTTGGATACCAATATTGGAGAACACAGAAGGAAAGAAGAAACAGTAACAGAAAGTACCAAAGACATACTCGACAGGAAAAAGCTTGGTGTGAATGTCTCCCATGCTTGTGTGGATAATGGCACTGTCGGAAACTCTCTTGGGACCTTCTGCCTGAGTGGCTGCCATGACCTCTTCTTTAGAAGGTTTCTCATTAAACACATCTCTGTCAGAATCTGCACTCTTAGTATCTTCTGGTTCACGTTTAGTAAACTGAAAAACAAAACCACAGAAGGTTACCTTCTTTATCTTACACAGTGCTCTGCACATAAGACAGTGTGATTATTCAGCCTGCTTAACACTCAAATAGATTTGAAATGTAGACAGAATCCACAGATGCTTGAATTAAGTGCATGATCAGCACAAATTCCAACACAACTATTTGTAAATCCAAGTAGCTTTTTCTAAGATTGCAGTATCTTCTAGTTCAGAACTGTGTTTTAGAAAGAGGTGGTGTGTATTGAAATGTTCCATTATATCCCAACTAACTAGCAGGGCTTTTGGCTTCATTACAAAAACATACTGAAGTTTGCAGGATAGCACGCTTCTGAACTGTAACCTAAACCACAATTCAAGCACAGATAAGGCAATGGACAGCTGGACCTCTAGCCTCCACTGTGATTTTCTCCCCATTTAACCATGAACTACTCCAGAAGTGCCTGTCCATTTTGCTTATTCACTGCATCTCATCCAAAATCTAAACTGTGAAGCAGAGGAAGACTCCCAGTCTTTGTTATTTACCTACAAGGCACTTCAGTGCTATGGAGTCCTCATGCTTCTCTGAATTTAATTATTTTATGCTTATTATATATTTCATACATATGATTAATTATTGTTTTAATTGGTGTAAGATCTGGTCAGGATTTTTAGATGTTCCTGTATTAGATTACTAAACCACACCAAAAACCTCTGCTCTTCTCAAAGAACTATAATTTAGACATCAAAAAAAAAAAAAAAAAAAAAAGGGCTTGATTAACATAGTGAAAACAAAATTAGAGACTAAAGAGTCAATTTTTAGTCATTTCAAGCCAAAAATTCTAGAATATTGTTATAAGTTATTGAGATACCTCTGGAAAAGTTGCATTTGCAAATGTTCAATACAGAAAGCAGTGGAAAGGGACAAGGAGAAAGCATCAATACAAGAATGGAGTTATTCAAACAGAAGACACACACATACCATATAAAACCTGTTTTTCTTAAAGGCTGTGCAGATTACTGTTGGATCAGGCTGGATGTTCTGGAGAACAGGGTTTTCAGATGCCTTCATCTCTATAGTGATTGCAGCACGATGTTTCTTTGCTACTCCTTGGAACAGAGCTAGTTGCATCACCCTGATGTTTTCTTGTTTGCCCAAGATACGAATACACCTGAAGTACAAGATGTTACAAGATGTAATGACTACTACTTGTTCGTAATTTGTCCAGAGAGTCTTCTCTCTGACCGCAAGAAATTTGAATCAAGAATTCTAAAGCCTTCTCAAAATGATTTTTACTGCCTTTTTTTTTTTTTTTTTTTTTTTGTGTGCAGACTGTTTACAGTGCTTCTCTATTTGAACTTGTTACAGCATTTACCAGTCATTCTCCTTCCCCATAACAACTCAACTCCATTGATCCACATTCACTTTATCTTACCCTATCTAGTTGGTCAGGAATTAATTGATTATGTATTTTTAGTAACAAAACCCTTTCCCTATTTCTTTCTTTATTTTAAACTATATTTTCTTAATAAATGGGGGAAAATCTTATTTGCAGTCTAATTTAAGGCTTCAAGGAGAAAAGAAAAAAAAGGGGAGGGGAGAAGGGAGAGATATCCACATTCATAGCAAGTCTGCAAGTTTTAAACATACTAGAAATTGGAATGAATATAGACTTTGAAACAAACATGTATTTCATGTCTCACTGGAACTTACCTGTTGGTCTCTACATTTATGACCTTAATGCCCAACATTGTTCCATAGAGAACGAAGTGTCCAGTTTCATCAAAAACTATGTTAATCAATTTTACTGCATCCACTTTCTCCAGCTCACGCTCAACAGCCATGCGGCGCCCAAACTCCATGTCTGGTAACTGCTGTCTCATCTGCTGAAGTTCAGTAAACATCTACATAAAAAAAACCAAAAGCAAATATATATGTATATACTTACAATATGAACATACTTTAAACTTTCAATCCAGCAGATTAGGAAATAAAGAATTCAAATGAGACTAATCAGATCTTAAAACGGCCTGAAGAATTAAAACACAAAAAAGGGGGGGGGGAAGGTATTTGTGTAGCATCTAATAGGCATATTGTAGTACTTAGACATCAAACAGAAGAAAAAAATACATAGCTAGCTAACAAAATTATTCAAAGATCATAAATGTATTTTTACATTATTATGATTTTATTTAATAAAATATTTGTATTAACACAAAAATATAAATAAAAAAATCAAGAACTGAGTTTTTGCAATACAGCTTATCTAAATCAGTAAGAATTCATTTTTGGTTAGAAAAATGTAAATACCAAGGAAGAGAACCGGAAAACCTTTCTGTAAGAGAAACACAGCAATGAAGCTTAATTTTCAGAAACAGATAATAATGTAGGTGAACGTGCTGGAAAGTAAATTCAAATAAATACATAAAAATCCCCCCCAAAATAGAAGCAAGACTGAACTCACGCTCAGAGATTCATCAAAGACTCTCATGAGCTTCCCCGTCAAGAACCGGAAAATTCTAACTTTCCTGTCAGACCCCAGAGTTGCCATTTTCTTGCCGTCAGGTGAAAAACTTATACTGGATGGGTAAGCCTTGCATTTAGCAAATTCATATAAATCAGTGTCCGTTTTATACTCCCAGTTCACATTCTTGGGAAACTTATATTCATGAGGAGTACCAGTCCAGTACTCAATCATTCCAGATTTGTCAGAAGACACTACTACTTTGTAGACAGGGTTCAACCGTATCTGAGTAAGAGAGGATGTATGCAGTTTATCAAAAACATGAAGCGGCTCATTATTTCCTCGTCCATCATATATGAATATTTTTCCTGTGCTCTTCTCAGATGTGGCAACAGAAGAGATGGCATCTCCAGGGCAATATACCCATTCACATTGGCCAGGGCAGTAGCTGCAACAAAAAGTGGAAGGAAAAAAAAAAACAAGTAAGAAGCACTGATTTTACTTAGGTGAGAAATGAATTACGCTTTCAACTTAAAATCAAGGATCTCAAGCACATTTTGAACCTTACTATTCTTGCTAATATCTGACCTGCTAAACTTGAATGGTGTTACAGCCAAACTGTTCCAAACAACACAAATCAGTGGATGCAGCAGTTAGCCAGCCTCTCTTGTTCCCACATTGTTTCATAAAGAGGCTGTGACAGAGAGCTGATGTAGAAGAGCATGGGTAAAAAAGAAGAAAAGGGATGGAAATCCAAAGTAACAGCACCAGTGCAGGATTAGTGACTAAGCAGTAATCTTTACGAGTCAATAACATTTCTCATCTGTCTGGAAAGCAGTTATGCCATTCAATGCACATGAAGACAAACACACATTTGCCACCTACTTAAGGGAAAGTGCAGCTTTGTATAATCAGAATACAAACTTATTAACAAGGATTCCATGATACTAAGACAACCAGGCTATAGGTGTTCTGAATTATTTTAAGAATAAATGCATTTGCTACTAGCATCCAAAAAGTTATAACTTTTTGTTTGTAAAAGAGTCTCTATGCAAAGATTCTGAGAATCAAAACTACACAACAGACCATAAAGGCAGGATACAAACTCCATAGGAAAACCTTGTTTAGCATCCTTTCACAGAACAAACACCGAGAACTGGCAGATACTAATCATTTAGATTTTTAACAGCTGTCTGGCAATAATTCTCAGAGGAAGGACGATTTGAGGCTTTCTTTGGAAAGGAGTTGTTCCACTAACAAAACCAGAACTTTTGATGAGGCTCACTAAAGGGATAGGAGGCAAAACTACTGCAGTGTGATGTCCCATTGCTCTGTGTGCTGTTACCCAAACTTCTATGTGAACTGGCCCTTTTCCAGATCACTGAGGGAAACAGAACGCATGGAGATTTGCAGATAACTACACTGCAGAGTTTAGTTAAAACTGAAAGGATCCAGAGAATTTGAGGCGAAGCTCATCGACCACAAAACATAGTGACCCATGTGTACCCAAGCAGGCAATGCCAGATAATGCAGGTTGAAAGGACTGCGTGGTACTGATGAATTCTATACCCACTATAGCCAGCCTGAGCAAACGGCCATGAAAAATTCCTTAGGCAGGTTGACAGACACTGTTTGCTCAATAAATAGTAATGCAGACCATAAAGCTACAAAACAATGAGATTTTAAGAAGAGTATTTACAAACAACAGTTTGTGATACAGTTGTAATATAAATGTTGTTTGTATGTATTCTATTTTATCCTATAACTTTGCATTAGTAACACAAGATTGTTAAGCAGAAAACATCAGCAAAAGCTAAAAACTGAGGCTAACTGAGGACTTTTTTCCCCCTTGCAGCAGACAGAAGAGAGAGACTCTATTCTTATGGGCTAAGCACATTATTTGGAGATTGCTACTAACACTACCACAAGCAGAGAAGCTAATATAAGCATTGACATAGGAATTCTGAAAGGTGTTTGGGTATTTTATTTTTTTAGCATCTTTCATAGCACTGAAAGTTTTACCACTATTTCAGTCCAAAGAACTATGACAATACTAAACATTTTTGAGTTTAAACTTCTATTCAATTTTGGAATTAACCAACAAATAGTAGACAACAAGGAATAAATATTTTTGGATTTCAGAAAGACTGTAGATATATAATTTTCTTCTGCTATTCTTTGTATAGCATTCTTTGATTCTCCCATTTTCCAAATCCACCCTTGTAAAAATCTGAAAGTTTATTTTCCCTTGTTATTGATACAATTCCAATAATATCCATTCCTATTTCTTACAAGTTATTCAGCTACATAATTACAAAATTCAGCTATACAAATTCAGCTATAATTACAAAAAATCTATAATAGCAACACTAAGGAAGATGGCATTGTACTTTTTAAAGAAGAAAAATGCTATCCCTAATCAACAAAGAGGATGGCACATACTCTCCAACAGCTCCTGCTAACCTGCAACTATTGTTGGCTATGATTTTTAAATCCAGCACCAGACAGCAGGGGAAAGAGAAAAAAAAAGAGAGAAAAAAAAAAACCTAACTCTGCATACCACATCTTTGTAGCTATCTGTCCCAGAAAAATGGCATAAGCATTTACCGCTCTTAAGCAGGGTACAACATCCTATATTTCTCTTTTAAACCAGGCAATCTCCAAGCCAGTGGAGGTATTTTGAATGAGGCAACTTAGCAAAATTTGACTTCATATAACTTATCTCTTATGCAAAATAACTCCAAACATTTTATAATCTCTACTTTTTTTTTTAAAGGACCAAGTCACTTACCCAAGCTTCAGCATGTTGATCATATCAAAGTTGACCACATCAAACACCTTCATTGCTTTGTCATCTCCAACTGAACAGAATAAAGCCCCCTCTGAGCTAACAGCAATACACTCAATAACTCCTATAAGAAAGTTAGTATATACTATTAGGACACTGGAAAGAGACATCCTTCATTTCAATATCCCTCAGAAAAGGGAGACAGAGACACTAATTAAAGATATACAGAAGCCTAGAGATGTTTCTCAACCGTTTCTTCACCATTTTTAAAGTTAGAAGACATATATTTTTTTTAAAAAGCCCACTTTGTATTTTATCCTTATTTGGAATTTGGAAGCAGACAAGTAAAGTTGAATTACTCTTCTTCGGATTGTATGCACCCTGTTCACTCATTTCTAAATAGAAACTCTCCCTGGGTATTGGACATTCACCCCAAAAGCAGGACACAAAGCAATGCAAAGGATGTAGGGGGTCCAGACAAGGAGACTCATCAAGTTTGGTTCCCAGCTCATCCCTCTTGCAGTTTGGAGCAGGATGGAACAGGACAGGGGAATGAAGGAACCCAGATGGATATCACTTTATCCCCAACTGCAGTAGGTACATCCTTGAACTCCTCTTGCTTTGCACTGTGCTGCCTGTTCAAAACACTATAAGAAAAAAAAAATCGTTTATAAATGACAAGGTAATTTCTCACCTAGATGGCTACGAAAATGCTTAACAAACTCAATCCCTTCTTCTATTTTTTTCCAGAACTTTACATGCCCGTCATGACTGGCTGTTATGATAAAATCTGTCCTGCAAGTGCAAAAGAAAAAAAGGAAGAAATTCACATACAATGTATTTCCACACTGCTGTTGAGAAGTAATTTGCATTCTATGATTCTATGATTCTATGATTAAGATAGTACAATTAACGCTGTGAAGAAAATGAACTTTAAACAAATTACTGTGACCGTTGTCTAAATAGGCACCCTCAGTCCTGAAAAAGCAAACGAATATTTTAAGATACTCTCTGCTAATCTATAAAAGGAGAACAGCCTGAATTCAAGAAATATTAATTTTGATATACTTTTATATATATTTTAGTATTAATTTGCTACTCTTTAGGTTTAGTTTGACAGTAGTTTACTAAAAATATGTCTCCTAAAGGTAAGAGCAATTGATGCAATTATGCTGAGTCATAGTTTTGTCTGTTTACAGCCAATTTCTCTTATTTCTGTATATAACTGCAATAAGGCTTTTCAAAACACATTTTAGTCTATTTAGTCATCTTCTCCATAAGCCCTTTCCGTTATATTTAGTTTTGAAAACCTTAAAATGCCACCTCTGAACACAATAACTTTCCATTATTACATTTCTTCAATGAAAACTTTCCCTCCTACACAAGAACATATTACTGACAATAATATACTATGAAAAATAAGAGACTTACTTAGTACATGCTACATGGGTAATGACATCTCTGTGCATGTAACTGCGTTCATACATTGAAGCACTTGGTAGATTTTCAAGATAGACATGTTCAAATTCAAGGACTGAAAAGAATAAAAAGAAAAAAATCAGAAAATTTTGTGTTCATAGAGATACAGCCAGTTTCCTCTCCTCATTAATTACCCTAGAACCAGCACTAGAATTTCATCCTAATACAGCATGTGGTTTGATGCTCAGATGGATGATGCTCCAGGCTCATAGCAGACAAAAGCCCCGCGGACTCTGCTTTCAACCAGGAAGAGGCCTACTTCTAAAGCAGCTCTTGTCTTGGCCTTCTGAATGTGCAAAAAGCATCTTAAAAATATGAATATGCTAAGCTTATTATTGATACAACTCCTTCCTTAATAAAGTTGTTGGAAGATACAAATCATTTAACCGAGGAAATATTTAACTTCACTACTTATTTAAAGCAAAACCTTTCACAAATGTCCACAAGAGCGTCAGAGGATGTTTTTAATAGTACTTTAATAGCACTTTTACCCAGATCACCGACTACCTCATGGCTCAATTTTCTGCTATATGTACACTCTGACATGTCTGACATGTCATCCTAAGAAACTTTAAGATATTGTGATAAAGGGGATCATAAACATTTTTTCTCCTCCCCTCCTCAGCCCAAATTAGGTCATTGTTATGAGATCCACAGCCCCATTCAAGAATTACACCGCCAACTCTAAGGACGGGCACTTGCCCGTTGTACTTTTTAAAAT